CAGGAGGAAACAGTGACCTGCTGTTCCAGTTAAAATTGCACAATCTGTGGGGCCAGGTGGGATCCACTCAAGGGAACTGAGGGAGCTGGTGGACAAGCTCATGGAGCTGCTCTCCATCATTTACTGGCAGCCCTGGTCAACTGGGGAAGTCCCAGAAGACTGATGGCTAGCCAGTGTGACACCCATCTACAAGAAGGCTGAAAGGAGGATCTGGAGAGCCACAAGCCCGTGAGCCTGACCTCGATGCCAAGGAAGGCTGTGGAACAGATCATACTGAGCGTGACCAGCCAGGGGGCCAGGCCCAGCCAGCACACGTCCATCAGAGGCAGATCCTGCTTAACAAACCTGATCCTGCAAATTTCTGACTGTCTAAACGTACTGACCCTTTTCCTTTCATCTTGGGCTACTGCTTCTTGTATTCAGGGAGGCTGATTGAAATGTAATGATGTTGCCATGTCTGGCTATCTGATTTTCTGTTTGTGGCCTTTGCCTAGGTACATCATTGATACTCTCTGTTGCAAATAACAGACCCTGTAGATACTTTTTCTGGACAGCTTCAGTGAGATGCCATCATATCTGTGGCTGTTTTGTGTACAGTGATCTGGGAACCAGCAGCTATCAAAACTGCCATATCATTTCTTCCCACAATCTGGTTGTTTGGTTTGTTTTTTTTTTTTGATAGAAAGTTGCTAATCTCATTCTCTGACTCTTTGTTCTGCTTGCTTTTAATGCATCTTATCCCACAGAGTGTCTATCCAGCATTTCATTACAGCTATACAAGAGGGTGTGTAAACTTCTTTCTTTTACTTCAGGAGAAAACATAGTTCTAAACCCACCCTAAGAGAACTGGATATTGCAGGATTCATTCTGAAAAGGTGAAGTCATGATAAATACAGAAGATGCAGTTAAGAAACAAGTGCCTTAAATGTCCTCTGCCTTCAGCTGCAGTATTTTATTGGCCTAGTATACTACATTTACAATATTTGCTCTCCTCTTACCTCAAACATTCACACGTGCTTGGTCTGCCATCCTCTCTGGGTTCATGAGGAGGAACTCTAAAGCTGTTGGTAAAATGCTAAATCTAATTCCCCTAAAAACTAGGGGAATTTGCTGGTGGATGCATCCCTGTTGGGCATCACTCTGTGTTTCCATGCCTAGCAGCCTGATTAGTTACCTACTGAATGCTGTTATTGTAAAATCTCACCTCTTCTACACTCATTAGTAATGTAAATCTGGAGAAAATTGAGATCTTCAGCTGTTTTCTGGTGGGTCCCCAAAATACTTCTGTCAGGCTCCTTGTGATGGATGATATTTATTGTTCCAGACTCTTAGCAGCGATCTAGGTATGCAAAGGTTTGCTCGACCTTTTTCCCTCCTCTCTGTTTTTTTCCAAGGCTAACGAAGCTGTGTTGCTCTGTGTGTGCTGGATGTACATTTAAATATAGCTTTTATAGTTTAATCCCATAAAGTAGTTGAAGTCTTGACAAAAATACACAACAAGCAGTAATAAAACAAAGAAAGAAGTGAAGCTATACCACAGTGTACTTCCATTTAGCCCATGAAGACTGGATGTTCATGACAAATTCTGGCTGATATCTACCAGATCCTCCAACCAGCCCCAGGCTGGACTCCTCCAGTGCTGGGTCCCTTGCTGCAAGAGCTGCCACTCTCTGCTTTGCTACCCCAGCAGTACTTTCCCTAGGTTCAGAAGGATATTTTTAGTGCCCAGAACTGCAGGAATGACAGTTGACATGGTTACGAGAGGGCCCAGCTATTGCTTGAAAATGTTGGGATCAACCAAAGCATCTTGCCCAAGATGCAAAACCATCTCTAACCAGTTTCTCTGCATGTTCTGAGGTACAACAAAGAATTACACTGCAAATCCATTTTAGTTAATAGTATATTATGTAACTATAGATACGCATATATTTGCTACTAGTTAGATCATATCTTTACACCCTCTTTCCTGTAATTTTCTGTTAATTTTCAGGCCTATCCAGCTTCATAGGCTAAATCTCCTAATGATCTAGGTATAAGCTGTATTAATTAAATCCTAGATGAGAAACAATAGCAAAGTCCTTATTAAGATCCTCCATTTATACTCTGTTTTTGAAACAACACTTGCACTTCTGCAATATGGACAACTGTAGTTTTCCTGTAATCAGCTGATCACCTCTGGCTAAAACACTTGGTTTTACTTGGTATAGTAAGATTGAGGCCTGGAAGTTTTGAGAACTTCTGCAGAACTCATACTCTGAGAATTACACAGGTCTAATGTAATCATGTAAAAACAATCCTAATTGCTTTCAGTGCAAAGTGAGAATGTAACATTTTGTTCTCTGACATCACAAATGCATGCCCTTAAACAACTTTCACAGTTCATTTCTTCCATTTGTTATGGAAGAATTTGTCTACTTCAACTGTCATGTAGATCATATGATGTTTTATAAGACTATCACTCAGTAATGAAGTTTTTATCTTATTAGGAATGATTTGCCAGGATTCAGGAACTTCTGAATATCTGCTGTTACGATTTTAAAAGTTGAGGATTACAGGAATGCAGGATGTTTTTTGCCTTCATGTAAGTTGGCTTCATGCACAATGCATGTTGTACCATCAGTCAATCATTCAATTATCATCTAGTTTGGGTTGTTTTCCTTTTTTTGCTTACTGTGATTTTGCTACCAAGGAAATATCAGTGAAGCACTATTAATCATATAGGGCAGGAAATCACTTTGCTCAGGGCAGGGTGGACTAAAAGTAGGCATGAGCATGTGCAGATCCATCACCAGCAGATTGGTGGCAGTCTTTGCATGGTGAAGTTACAAGATAATCTGTGGTGGCAGCCCTGTGTCTGGTTCCTTTGTTTTATCCCTTTTGTGCTTGGAACAAGGGATCCTTGATGATTTTCTTATATCAGAGTTTACATTGTGCATTGAGATTTCTCTTTGCATTTTGAAATTTTTGTTTGGACACATTTTTGTTAGCATATTTCAAAACCTGTATTGGTTAACTTGGCTTTTAAATTTAATAAGCAAGGCAATGAAAATTATAGGCAGCATTTTGATGGAAAGCACCTGGGCAGAAAAGGGTCCGGTCGTCCCCTGGACCACCAAGCTGACCAGAAGACAGGAGATGTCCTCACAGCCTGTGGAGCATGGCCTGCAAGGTCATGGGGAGTGATCCTTACCCACCACTCGGCACTGGTGGGACACACCTGGAGGGCTGGTTCAGGAATCCCACCATGAGGGAGGCCCGTCCGTACTGGAGCAAATCCAGCAAAGGGCCACCAAGGTGAGAAGGGGCCTGGAGCACACAGCGCATGAGGAGAGGCTGGGAGAGCTCTGCTGACTTGTCTTGGACTAGATCAGGCTGGGCTGTGTGTTCAGGGTGTGAAACACCTGGCTGAAGGTGGGTGGCTGGGGGGGTGGGTGAAGGACACAAGTGAGACTCTCCTGCGTTCAATGCAGAGATAGCAGGAGACACAATGGGCACACCTTGAAGTGTGGCGAGTTAGAAATGAAAGGAAGGGTGGTGAAACACTGGATCAGGTAGCCCAGAGTGCCTGTGGAGTCCCTGTGCTGGGACAAGAGTTGTCATGAGTCCATCCATGGTGCTGCCGTGCATGGAAGGATCTGGGGAGAGGAGAGAGGTCTGGGACACTACAGAGCAATATTTGTTTCAGGCAGCTGAGGAAGAACTGCAGCAGAGCCTGAATTTAGTGGCTGTACTGATAAAGGAGGGATTTGATGAATGTGCCAGCAAGTCTCATGGAAGGGAAGGTGAGCCTCCCTTGATCACAGGGTCAAGGGGGAACTGGCACAGAATGAGGGACACCGGAATTTGGCAAAGTCCTTCCCTGAGGTCCCTGGCATATGAGGGAGCACTCCCTAATGAAGGAGTAAAGTATTTGGTGAAAAGAATGTGTTTGCAAGGGGGCATCCTGTACTTAGGGCTTGGGGTGGGAGCAGGCAGCTCTGTGGAAGGCTCAGCTCAGTTACTGTGGCAGCCCCAGCAGCAGTGTGAGGGCTGGGAATTCTTAGCAAAGAGGAGAAAACAAATCAAGCCATTTTCCCACTAGTCTAAAGCTCAAAGTGTTGCAACAGTGGGTTTTCAATTTCTTCCTTTTTCCTTAATTACTTTTTAACTAACTTGTTTGTTTATGGTACATCTTTGTGACCTTTGTATCATCTACTCATTACGGATGAATGATGTCACATCCTCCTTTTTTTTTTCTCCATGTACTCACCATTCGTTTTTATAAAAAGGAAGTGACTATCGAGCAGTAGTCATACTTACAGACTTTAATTTTTTAAACATCCTTTCACCTGAGCAGGGAATTCTGTGGTATCTTGAAAGCAGGTACAGGTGAGTTTTGTGCCTTCTCTACAGCACCAGCTCTGTCCCACCAAGTCAGTGCCTTTTGTCTTCGAATGTTCAAAAAATTATTTACAGGGTTAACCCAGCTGTGGTGTGTGGAGGGTGGGGAATGTAGAGGGGTCTGTATAAGGCAGGGTGGGCTGGTTTTTGCTGCCTGTAGCACTGGCAGCACATGCTGGTATTTCTCTGTGGGAGGAGAAAACTTTCTGGGGATCCAGAGCTGATCATTTGTGTGTTGGCTGCCTCTCCACTGTCCCCCAAGTCACAGTGCCTTATCTTAGGATAACAACCAGTGCGTCTAAGAAGCCATTTTCTGGGCACATGAGATGTTCCATATGTGACCCAGGCCCAGAGATCAAGGGAGAAATGAGAAACGCAACACTGCGACCTGAGTTCTCTGTCCTCTTCGCAGCTTGTTTGGTTTCTTCCTCCCAGAATTTTTTGCATACGTGTCTCATGTTCAAAATGACTGGAAGATCTAAACCGTGACAGATAAGTTTTCTTATAGTGTTCCCAGAGTTTGTTGTGCACTGCTATGAAGGTGGGACACACACATTTGTGAAGGAAGGCTCATACTCTGCTGCCTTGTCTGTCAGGTTGTTTTCTTTCCTTCCCTTCAGGCTGTCTCAGGAGAGCAGGCTCTGGCTGGAGAGAGAATGCTCAGGACGCCCAGCTGCCTCCTAAAGCTGACCAGGGTGGTGCTGAGCCACAAGCCCTGTGCCCTGTTTATCCTCATCTTTGTGTTCATATACCTTGCCTACAACAAGTTGTACTGGGGCATCGGGGAGGACCCAAAGAGCAGCGTCCCCACCTATGGCTTGTCTGCTGAGATCAGCTGTGCTCACTATGTGCCTTCTCCCCTCAACATTGCTGGTGGGCCCTCTCCTTCCACAGGAAATGTGTTTTTTGTGGAGACCTCGGAGCAAACTGCCCCAAGTTACCTGTTCTCCTGCTCCGTGGAGTCAGCAGCCAGGACACACCCCGCATCACGAGTCGTGGTGCTCATGAAAGGTTTGGCCAAAGGGAACGCCTCCTTGCCCAAGCACTGGGCTTTCTCCTTGCTCAGCTGCTTCCCCAACGTGGAAATCCGACGCCTGGACCTCCAAGAGCTCTTTTCTGGAACACCCCTGAAAAGGTGGTACTTATGGCCTCTACGGCACTGGGAGCCTCATTTTTTACCCAACCTCTCTGATGCCTGCAGAATTGTCCTCATGTGGAAATTTGGTGGCATCTACCTGGATACAGACTTCATTGTGCTTAAGAACTTACAGAACCTCACCAACGCCCTCGGCATTCAGGATGACCATGAACTGAATGGAGCCTTTCTGTCCTTTGAGGCCAAGCACAAATTCATTGAGCTTTGCATGCAGGACTTTGTGCAGAATTACAATGGCTGGGTCTGGGGGCACCAGGGCCCAGAGCTCCTAACTCGTGTCTTCAAGAAGTGGTGCTCCCTCAGGACTATCACAAGCATGAGCTGCAAGGGTGTGAGTGCTCTTGCCCGAGAAGTTGTTTATCCTATTCCCTGGCAGGACTGGAAGAAGTTGTTTGAGGCAGTCAGTGCCTTGGAGCTTCAGAAACTCCTTAAGAACACCTATGCAGTGCACATATGGAACAAACTGAGCCACGGGACCAAGTTAGAGATCCCCTCCCAGGCTCTGCTGGCTCAGCTCTATTCCCAGTTCTGCCCTGCCACCTATGCAAAGATGAAGCAGGACTCTGAAGAGTTGTCAAGGCGTGCAGTGTGACCTGGGGCCCTTGTCTGTAGGGACATTCCCCAGCCAAAAGGAAACCGAGTGCCTTTGACCTTCCCCAGAGTTGGTTTCTACACCCCAGAGCAGCTGCATCACAGCTCTGTGGTTCTGTGTCACAGCTCTGTGGTTCTGTACCTGACATTCCTGATATCTGCCTCTGATCCCCTGTGTTTCATATTTATAGCAGAACCTAACTGCAGCCTCTCTTGCTGTCCTTCACGAGACCTGTTGCTGCAGGGAAGGTTGAACTCCTTCATCAGCATGTCTCAGCTGGTCCATTCTTGGTGTTCTCCAATGGCTCCTCCTGTGAATCCCAGCCTGAGCAGCCCCTTGTGATGTTTCAACAGCTGTAGGGACCCTTGGCTTCCTCTCTGTAGCATTTATGACTTTCTGAATCACTGCCAGTCAGGGACAGAGGTCACAGGTTGCTGGGGCTCAGATGAGAATTCCCTGGTTGGCAAAGATCCTTAACATGTGGGGAAATAAATGAAGAGAATATGAAATTTGCTTTAAGAAGCTGAAAACTGTTTAGATCCTTGTGTCGCTCACTGTGAAGTTGTTCTAAACTTCTGAAGTGAGGGAAGTTCAAATAATGCTTCCTACAGTTTCTAAATCCACAGCAGTGGGATGATTTGTCTGAGATGCCTCAGGAAAAGAAACAGACAAAAGCAGTTCGTTGAGGAGCAGAAATTATGAATATCCTTGCTCTGCTGAAATAGTTCTTGTGGATACCAATATCTAAGCAACCATTGTCACACTCTGAAGGGGCTCAGCATTTCCTCTTTCTGCAGTGCTGTGAGGAGGATTGCATCCCTTTCATTGGAATATTGAGCCCAATGTGGAAGTCCAGGGGACGACATGTCCCCATCAACAGAAGGACCAAGTGCAGGGCACCAAGCAGTGTCCCCAGGAATAAAAATAAAAACTCAGAAGCACATGAAGGTTGGAAAAGACCTCCAAGATCAGGGAGTCCAACCTTCAATTCACTATCACCATACCCACAAGCCTGTACCCCAAATGCCATGTGTTCTCATTTTTTGGAGCACTTCCAGGGATGCTGACTCCACCACTTCCCTGGGGAGCCTGTGGCACACAGTGCTTAAGCACGCTGAAATTTTTCCTCATAGCCCAGCTGAACCTACTGTGGTGCACAGAGTGCTGCATCCAGCCCTTGGCCCAGCACAGGAAGGACAGGGAGCTGCTCGAGCCAGTGCAGAGCAGGGCCACCAAGGGGATCAGAGGGAGGGAACAGCTCTGCTGGGAGGAAAAGCTGAGAGAAGTGGGAATGTTCTGCCTGGAGAAGAGAAGGCTTTGTGGTGACCTAATCATGGCCCTCCACTGCCTGAAGGGAGCTTAAAGGAAAGATGCAGACAGACTCTTTGCAAAGGCCTGCAGTGACAGGACAAGGGGGAATGGCTTCACAGTGACAGAGAGAAGGTTTAGGTTGGATATGAGGGAGAAATTCTTCCCTGTGAGGGTGCTGAGGCCCTGGCACAGGGTGCCCAGAGCAGTTGTGGCTGCCCCTGGATCCCTAGAAGTGTCCAAGTCCAGGCTGAATGGGGCTCTGAGCAACCTGGGATAGTGGGAGGTGTCCCTGTCTGTGGCAGGAGGAGTGGAACAAGATGATCTTTAGCCTCCCTTCCATTCCACACCATTCTATTCATTTCCCCTCATCCTGTCCCTTATTCCCTGGCAGCAGAGCCTGACCCCCAGCTGGCTGCACCCTCCTGTCAGGGAGGTGTGGAGAGCAGTAGAGCTCCCCTGAGCCTCCTTTTCCTCCAGGTTAAACACCCCCAGCTCCCTCAGCTGCTCCTCATCAGACTTGTGCTCCAGCCCCTTGCCCAGCTCCGTTTCCCCCTCTGGACACGCTCCGGCCCCTCAGTGTCCATCTTGCAGTGCCAGGCCCAGAACTGGACACAGCCCTTGGGGTGAGGCCTCCCCAGTGCCCACAGCAGGGGGACAGTCACTGGCCTGCTCCTGCTGGCCACACCATTGCTGGCCCAGCCCAGCAGCCATTGGCCTTCTCGCCCACCTGGGCATGCACTGTGGGCCAGCAGGCCCAGGCCCTTCCTTCCCTGCTGGGCTCTTCCCAGCCACTCTTCCCAGCCTGGAGCTGCTGGCGCTTCCTGTGACCCAGGGGCAGTACCTGGCACTTCAGATCTTGTTCAGCCTCAAGGATATGAAAGGGGACTGGCTCTTACAGTGCGCCCTGGGGCACAGCACAAGTGACCCACTGCCAGCTGGATAATTCCACCACCACCCTCTGGGCCCAGCCATCCAGGCACTTTATTCCCAGCCAACAGGGAACCTGTTAAATCCATGGGCTGCAAGGACAATGCTCTCCAGGAGAGCGCTGTGGAAGCAGTGGTCAAAGGCTTTAGAAGGCCCAGGTACACAATATCCACAGCCTTTCCCCATCCATTGGCTGTTCATAGAAGGAGGTTGGGTCAGTCAAGCAGGACCTGCCTGAACGTGTGCTGGCTGGGCCTGATGCCACAGTGGTGCAGCACACATGGTGCCATTGCACTCCAGGTAATCTGGTCCATACCCTTCCCAGGCACCGAGGTCAGGCTGACAGGCCTCTGGTTCCCCCAGGTGTCCTTCCAAGCTTTCCCCTAGAGGGGTGTCACATTGGCCAACCTCCAGTCACCCAGGAGCTCTCCAGTTCACCGGGACTGCTGATAAACAATGGAGACTGGAGCTTTGTGGGCTGCTTCACCAGCTCCCAGCAGAAGGATGGCATCTGCCTAGACTTGTGCATGTCTGGGCAGCACAGCAGCTCACTGACAACTTCCTCCTGCAGAGTGGGGACCTTGTTCTGCTCCCTGTTTCTGTCTTCTGGCTCAGCGGGCCGGATATGCGGAGGCTAACTGGGCTTTGGGTTAAAGGCTGAGGTCAAGAATGCATTGAGTCCCTCAGCCTTTTCCTCATCCCTGGAGGTTGTGTTCCCACCCCAGCGTGCAATAAAAGATGGAGAATCTCCTTGGCCTCTTTTTGGTATTAATGCATTTGGAAAAGCATTTCTTCCTTAGCTTTTATGCTGGTGGCCAGATTGACTTCTAGCTGGACTTTTACCTTTCTAGTTTTCTCTCTGATTAACTTCCTGACATTCTTGTAGTCTTCCTGAGTTGCCTGACCCTTCTTCCAGAGCTGCCAAACTCTCTGTTCTTCCCTGAGTCCCAGTGGAAGCTTGCTGTTCATCCAAGCCAGCCTTCCCTGAACCAGCTTCCAGCACATTGTAATTGGCTCCTTCTCCACCTCTATGGAGGTTCCTTCCTGAGGAACCTCCACCTTCCTGGGCTCCCTGGCCCCTCAGGACTGCCTCCCAAGGGATTCTCTCAACCCATGGTCCAAACAGACCAAAGCCTGTCCTCCACAAATCCAAGGCAGTAGTTTTGCTGACCCCCTTCCTCTTTCTTCCCTCCCTTCACCGAGAACTGAAATCAAATCGTGTCATGGTCACTGTACCCAAGATGGCCTCAGGCAACCTCATCTCCACCCCAGTGCTCCTCTGTTTGCAAACAGCAGATCCCCTGGGACACCTCCCCTGGTGGGCTCGCCTGCCACCAGTGTCAGCAAGTTCTCTTCCACGTGCTCCAGGAACCTCCTGGAGTGTCTGCTGGGTGGGATTCCAGCAGACACCTGGTAAGTTGAAGATGGCTCTGAGGTTGTAGGCAGTCAACGATGTGGGGTCATCCATAATGCAAATCCTTGCCCACCACTCGGCACTGGTGGGACACACCTGGAGGGCTGGTTCAGGAATCCCACCATGAGGGAGGCCCGTCCGTACTGGAGCAAATCCAGCAAAGGGCCACCAAGGTGAGAAGGGGACTGGAGCACACAGCGCATGAGGAGAGGCTGGGAGAGTTCTGCTGACTTGTCTTGGACTAGATCAGGCTGGGCTGTGTGTTCAGGGTGTGAAACACCTGGCTGAAGGTGGGTGGCTGGGGGGGTGGGTGAAGGACACAAGTGAGACTCTCCTGTGTTCAATGCAGAGATAGCAGGAGACACAATGGGCACACCTTGAAGTGTGGCGAGTTAGAAATGAAAGGAAGGGTGGTGAAACACTGGATCAGGTAGCCCAGAGTGCCTGTGGAGTCCCTGTGCTGGGACAAGAGTTGTCATGAGTCCATCCATGGTGCTGTCATGCATGGAAGGATCTGGGGAGAGGAGAGAGGTCTGGGACACTACAGAGCAATATTTGTTTCAGGCAGCTGAGGAAGAACTGCAGCAGAGCCTGAATTTAGTGGCTGTACTGATAAAGGAGGGATTTGATGAATGTGCCAGCAAGTCTCATGGAAGGGAAGGTGAGCCTCCCTTGATCACAGGGTCAAGGGGGAACTGGCACAGAATGAGGGACACCGGAATTTGGCAAAGTCCTTCCCTGAGGTCCCTGGCATATGAGGGAGCACTCCCTAATGAAGGAGTAAAGTATTTGGTGAAAAGAGTGTGTTTGCAAGGGGGCATCCTGTACTTAGGGCTTGGGGTGGGAGCAGGCAGCTCTGTGGAAGGCTCAGCTCAGCTATTGTGGCAGCCCCAGCAGCAGTGTGAGGGCTGGGAATTCTTAGCAAAGGAGGAGAAAACAAATCAAGCCATTTTCCCACCAGTCTAAAGCTCAAAGAGTTGGTTTCAGTTTCCTCCTTTTTTTTTTTTTTTTTTTTTTTTTTTTTTTTTTTTTAATACTTTTTAACTATCTGGTTTGTTCAAGTGATTCTGTGTGACCTTAGCATCTGTTCCTGGTCACATAAACGGTTTTACACCCTTCCCGGTTTCTTTCCCCTTATGTTTGGACTCCATCGCTCCTCCTTACTTTTCTGAAGGAGAGGGAGCTGTCAGACCATAAAGTTCTGGTCATCCTCTGAGTTTTTAATTTCATTAATATCTTTTCCAGCTGAAGAGGGATTTCTGTGGCATCCCTAAAAGCAGAGACAGGTGAGTTTTGTGCCTTCTCAACATCATAGCTTCTGTTCTAACCTAGTCTGTGCCTCTTTACTTTCTACAGCTTAAAAAATTATTTACAGGGCTATCCCAGCTGTGGTGTGTGGAGGGTGGGGAATGTAGAGGGGTCTGTATAAGGCAGGGTGGGCTGGCTATGCCTGCCTGTAGCACTGGCAGCATATGGTGGCGTTTCTGTGCAGGAGGAGAAAACTTTCTGGGGAT